AATTTATTATATAATTTACCGTATAGAGTTGTAATTTTATTTTAATATGATAGTTAACCGTCTCACCTTACAATTTTGGGTTTCCTAATTTCAAGTCTAATACTAAGCAATATCATTTAAATTTTGATAATTTACTACTACATTTCAACATACAACTCGTAAATTAAGCCATAATAATCAAAACATATATTTTTCATTAAGGAAGATGATACTATCATAATTTTGATTTTGTTAACATTGCCAATTTAGTAGCATTAATCTAACATTGCCGATTACAACCTACCATTCATCTCCACTATCTGAGTTCATGTGCTCGTCAGATTTACGCCTGGAGTCTGAACTACCCCTTTTACGCTCTAACAACTTTAAACCATAATTTTCAAAAGCATCCATAATATTATCTTTATAACCTTGGGGGAAATCAGTGGTTTCAATAGGTAAACTAATCACAATTCTGGAAGCAGTCGAAGGGTCTAACTTCATTTTCATTGAAGAGGTTGCAAAAGTCTTCATCTCCAAAACGAAGCCAGCTAACAATTCCCTTTGGTTTCTTTTTGTCTTCTTTTCCATGACTCCCCTGCTACTCTCCATGTCTCCCTTGCTCATCTCCTTCATCGGTTTGTTCATCTTTCTTTACAGCATCTAAATGAAGTGTTGAGAATTCTCTCTTAAAAGTCACTAAAGCCCAAGCATGATCACCATACTTTCCTTGCAATTCATTTAACAACGTTTCCCTTTCTTGCAAATTCATGAACATATGTAAAAATGCTGATATATGCCTAAAACTACGCTCATAATATACACATTTATAAACATAGTATTGCAGAGTATTTAATTGAATTGAAAAGCTAATTGTGTACAAATAAAGCATGTAATAAAGTATACAATACGCCTCCTTACGAAATTTAAGCGGGTTTCTTATTTTAAATGTTTTCAAAAATGGATACTCGGGGTGAAACTGAATATCGGCCAGATTATTACCACTTCTAGCTATAGAGGCGAGTTGGTGACTAAACATGAGACTTCTATTTCTAGACTTTAATGTAAGGTACCCCATGTCTTCTTGTAAAACATCTGGCCCCTGCTGGACTTTTTCAGTGATTTGGACTACATCGGCGGTGGATTTTGGCCGTGAACAAGGAGGCGAGAAAAATTCATAGCTGAATTTTTGTAGGGGGTTGTCCATTGTGGAGGAAGAAGATAGTATAGTGATTATTTAAGTGGGAGGGGGTGTCCTATTTATAGTGAAGGTGCTTCCAAATTTCAAATTAATGTCATCCTAAAAAACCCGCAAATTTAGAGCGGGAATCTATATTTTTTTAATAAAAACCTTGATTCATCATTCAATTGCCTTTAACTATAGACAATACAAGTGATCATATATTTTTTAATAAATGACAGTATAATGATTTTTTTTAATAACATATATGATTCGACTGTTTCGTATGGAAATATATTTAGCTTATTCGACATAATAATATGCTCACAATGACAGTATAAAATATTGAAAAGATCACAAAATAAACCAAATAATATGTTACATAATCACCTCAGTCAATTTAACATAATTTAGACTTAGACAACAAAATTTTTAATACGGCTGACATACTTAATATATCGAACGACAAGCTTAACAACATACATAACAACTACATCAACATAGCTTACAAAGGACACCCATAATCATAACAGGTAGACGATAAACATCCATAGACACCTAATTTTATTTCCACGTAATACATAAAGCCGGTTACAACTTTTTAACAACCCTAGATTGATATTAGCCAATCACAACAAAATCCAACTTCATTATTGGTTTTGTTAAACAAATTGGACTGAAAATGCATAAGGGATTCAAATATCATACTTGACTAGCACACCATGGCCGGGCTGAAGTTTCATTTCCCTAAACATTGCACGAGGACCATTTGTAATTTTTGACATAACAATCTTGAGATCCCCTTTAACATCGCCTTTCACCAAATTCAACTCGGCATTCCAAGTCTTTCTCTTGTAGGTCAGAGTGATTAGGTTCATCTCACCTAATCCGACAAAGTTCTCCCGTGCAAATTTAATAGGCACATTCTAAATAAAACAAAATAAACCGTTAACAATAATCAAATATGACAACTCAAAATCCTTAATTCATAAAAATAAGCTTATATTTTATCTACCATCACACCCCCATCAATGTAAGCTCTGGTGAGAGTGACACCAAACGCATTCACGTCAGATTCGTTGATCAACCTAGTCAACTTCCACAGGGTGGTTTGTTTCCTTAATTCAAATTGGACCGCCTGGGTCCTCCAAACACTGTTGTTGGTGGGATTTGGGACGGGTTGTTCATCATAGCCAGTGATGTCAACACCGCCTCTGAAAATGCGGCAAAAAAACTTTCCATTAAATCCATAATACAATGTTAGTTGATCATCATTCTAGATGTCATTGTCGGTAACAAAATCCTTCCAACCGCGCTCGAGGATGGGAATCATGTTTGAGTGACCATCTTCTAAAAACATTAGGAAAACCTCCCAAGATTGGGTTGTGTCAAGATCCTTATGCACACGTCCGATGCAACCCATATCAGTCAACAACCCTCGAAACTGATAAGGAATACGCTGTCGTGCAAAAATAAACAACTAATCACGTATGGATACAAGATCAATACAACATTAACCATGTATGCATGAAGTATTAACAGTTTTCATGAAGTATTAACCTTGTGCATGCAATAAAGCAAATGATCTATTATTATGTATTATAAATAATTATGATGCACTTGGATGTTGTAGTAGTCATCCAACATTTGCATGGAAAGGTAAAACAAATTACTAAAATTAGTAGTCATCCAACATTTGCATGGAAGGGTAAAACAAATTATTAAAATTAATTAATCTAATGAACCAAATCATACCACACGTTCATTAGAGTTGTCCTCGTACTCAACCGGGAAATTAGGCATGGAATCGTAAACCTGCAAAATATTATACAACACAAATAATGATTAGTTTATGTTTAAAATTGTGATTAATACAAAAATAAATTATTATTATAAGGAAGAAAATATCACCTCAGTCATTTTAAGGGTTATAAGAAGTTGAAATTGGAGGGATAGAAAGTGAGTTAAAATAAACCCTATATATAGAGCTACGGATAGCAAGCTAACAAGGTTTATTACTATAATTGCGATTTTAGTACTAACATTACCACCTCCTTAGTTATATTATTGTATTAAGTAATAAACTCAATTTAGTTTGTTTTTGATAGTATAATATAATAGGTTAATAAAGTATTATATTAAAATGACAATATAAATAAATGACTATTAAATTATCGTCTTAACAAAGATTCAATAAATTAGTGTTATGACAGTATAATTATTGAAGATGAGCTATAATTTTGTTTTATGACATTATTTGACCTAGTAGTTTCATTTATCAAACAAGTAAGATAATTACTAAGTAGTTAGGTTAGACATTGTAATTACCTAAAATGACATACATATATGCTAGAATGACATATAAAAATTTACTTTTTATAGTTTATATTTAAAATAATAATATAAGTAAATTAGAAACTTTTTACAGTGTATTGTCACATCGCTGCGTATGGTCAGTGAAAGGTTCGTAATTTGATTCCTCGCGTTAGACACGCTTGCATTATTTATGACATAAAACATTGCATTAATAACAGTAACACTTATGTTTTTAGTCTTTTTTTTATATTGAATGACAGTATAAAAATCCGAAATGATAAATAATGAATTAGGACTTAGAAATTAGTTCAATCACGTCTTTTAACAAAATATTCCATTGCTTTGTCACTTCTTTGCCTCAGATGTCATAAATTGATTCTCTAATTGTCATTCATGAGCATGCAGATTTCGATTTATCTAACAACACATAATTTCTGTGTAGGAACTTGATAGAAATCGAATATAACAGTAATTTACAAATTCAGTTCTGTAAACGTCATTCGAAGTGCGCCTACGTTAGAGCATGTGTGAATATGCTTGGCACTCATAGGAAGTGGGAATTGACATATTACGATTAGGGACAAGGAAAGTAGGGAATCGCCAACAAGTTTTTAAGGAACTTGTAAGCCGTTCACAGATCATTATAAGGCAACTGTTTTGGGTGTTTTTAGTCCCTTAGGAGAGTTACAGCTCGAAGATTGGTCCGGCGCGGCCTGTACCTGCAAAACAACGGAAACTCCTGTTGGTTGGAGTTCCGCCTCCGACGGTCAAGTTAGAACATGTAGGAGAGTAAAAAGGTGCGGAAATAAAGGTGAGATCTTTACAGATCCCGAGATCAGGTGCTTTCTCTGATGTTTGAGAGAATGCAGGTGATGTAATAAATGATTGAATCATGTGACCTAGATTTGGTGGGCTATGACAAGTCATGGGGAATTGGGCTTTGAAAGTCGTCATTCCTTGGTGTGACAGTGGTGTCCACGTGTCACTTCTCAATTGGCCTTTGCATAGACCTACATGGCAAGGACAAGTGTCCTAATAATGGGTAGACACGTGTCGTGCTCTCAAGCCGCCACGTGGCAGGGTAATTTTACCCAAAACATTTGCCCCTGTCACAGAGGTGATGTGGCACTCCACAGGGCATCTGTGACACATGTCAGCGTCTCATTTGGCAAAGAGAAGTTATTGTTCACCCTCTAGGGTAATATCGAGGCAACCCCTCAAAAATTACCCCTCTATAAAAGGAAAATCCACCCTCATTTTTCACGCATCTTGCGTTGAATTTTGAGAGGATTTTCTAGAGAATTTTTCACAAAAAAGTGTGTACTCTGCCGTTTGTTACTGTCCGACTGCACCAACCGGCTCGTTTCCAAGTCAACTGTACCTTTCTAAAGGTAACCGTCTGACTTTCCTTTGTTTGTTCTTTTAAAATTTTTCCGCCTGTGTTTGTTTTTTCTTTCAATAAAATGGTTTCTCAAACACATTCGGCACGGCCTAGAGTAGTTATCATCCGGTCACCAAGGACACTATGGCCAGAACGAAAAGAACCGCAAGGAGGGATGAGAGGGATGGCTCTATCATGGTACCTCGAAACGAGGTTTATTATGACAGGCCTGGAACCCCGAGTACTCCAGATGATTCTATCTTAGACTTACCGCCTGGTCAGCATGAGGCTGAATCTGACCAGGACTCTTCCCAATCTTTTTCCCTTTCATCCTCAAATTCTTCCTCAGACGGCTCAGAATCTGAACAGGGGTCGTCTGAAAAGCCTGACGAGGAGGCCGCTTCCCCTGAAAGGGGTCAAGGTGAGGCGTTCTCTTCTCTTCAAGATGATTACACCCCCTACTTCTCACACATCTCCCTTTACACCCAAAAGACCATGCTAAAGGGGTTGGATGAGTTTAGGGATACATATGTCATGGGGGCCCGGCTATGAAGTCAAGGTGCCTGCCTTGACGGATGCTGTAGTCTGGCCCCTTAACCAGAGCTATCAGGACACTGCATTCGGCTGTTATAACACAGTGATCCAGGCGGGTCTTAAGTTTCCCCTAGATCCAGCCATTGAGGGTATCCTTGATGGATACCGCCTAGGGATCTGGCAGCTCACCCCTAACTCATGGGTGAACATCCTGGGGTATGTGGCCGCCTGCAGGATGCAAAATGTTGAACCTGGCTTTGAGGCGTTTGCTTCCATGCATTATCTGAGCAAAGCCCCTCAGTCAGCTGGCCCCGGCTGGTACAACCTTACAAGTAATAAGGGGTACATGATGACACTTGGTAAGGAATCCAAGTGAAAGGATTGGAGGAACAAATTCTACATCATTTCCTCCCCTGATACCAGCCGGAATGCCAAGTTCAACTCTTGGAACCAGAACCCCTATCTCCTTGGCCAAAAGGCCTTACTGTCGCCTGTCACTGAAGAAGGATGGGATCAAATTCTTGATCCAGGTTTGTTTAAGGTAGAAGTACAGGCGGTAGAGGGGGGTTCTGAGAAGGAAATAAAATTCATTAGCTACATCCCCCAGTATGAATGGCTCAAGGACCCGACCTATTTGGCCGCCAATGGCCTGAGCTTAGAGAAAGGAAGAGGTGGGTAGACGGATGAGGGTCACATCATACATTATTTTTTGCAAAAATTTTGATGTTGTTTTCTAACCACCCATTCGGCCTTTTGCAGAAGAAGCGATGTCTCAGCTCCCTCCCAGCAAGAAATTAAGCGGCTCCGCCTCCGCCTACCGCCAGATGATGAACAAGAAAAACCAGATCTTCAAGAGGGAACAACTTCAACATGTAAGTCTTCCCTTCATTCGACCTCAATTATAACTTTTACTTAGTATATTTTTCACTAACTTGTGAGTTTCTCTTGTATAGGAGGGCTCAGTGAAGCCTCCTGTAGTCACTGGGGTTAATCTCAAACCCCCCAAGCGGACTGCAAAGGAGGCGTCTCCGACGCCTGCTAAACGCTCCTGGAAGACGGTAGCTCATAAGTCCTCCACCAGCAACTCCGGATCACATCCCTCCACAGGCGGCAAATCGACGGTTGCTCTCTCCGCTCTCAAGGAGGCATCCGAATCCAAGGACTCGCCGTCTGCTCGAGAAGGCACCCCTGGCAGGCGCTAAGGCGAGCAGGTCCAAGACCTGGTTGTCATTTCAGATGCGTGACTTCTCTTCATCTTCTCTTTTTTTTTCTTTTTTTTTTTTGTCAAGTAGAGCATGTCATGCGGCCTTATCACTTGCTGGATGTGTGTTAAGTAACACCCCAACTTAATTCTTGATATACAGAAGCCCCCTCCCAAGCTCCAGACCTTAGAGAAGTTGCTAAGGAAATGCTCCGTCGAGGAGTTACTGCTGAGCAACGTGCCTCCATCCGGGAAGTTGGCAGCATGAACCTGGATGCCATCCTTGCTCTTCTCGCAGAGGTAAAGACTTTAAAATATTTCAACTTCTAATTTCATTCGGATGGCCTGTTTTACTAACGACCCTTTTCTTTTGTCCGGGTGCAGGCTATGCTGCGAGTGAATGGCCTTAAAAAGCCATTCAACGAGAAGACCAAGGAGGTAAGAGCTGCCAACCTTCGGGCCGCCTCCAATCTTAACAGAGCGCAATTTGATGTTAACAAAAATTACTTGCTAACACGAGATATAATATATTCTCAGGCGGCTGCTAACTTGCAGGTTAAGAAGGATTTGGAGGCGGCTCAGCAGAGAGTTTTGGAGCGGAAGGGGGAGCTGAAGGCGACCAAGGTGGAGCTAGGCAAGCTACAAGACATCAACAGGGACACATCCGTCAGGTCGAGAGCTTAAGAAAAAAGCTTGCCAACCAGGAGGAGCAGCTCAGGTCCAAGTTCGAGGAGCGCGCTAAGGATGAAAAGTGCCGGCTCATTGAGGAGAATGAGGCCGACTGTGTCACTCGAATGAAGATGGCATGGAAGGCTCTAATTCCTAAGGACGATTACTCCATTTGGGAGTATCGTTATGAGCAGGCGACCGACGCCTTGGACCAGGAGCATGCGGAGCCGGAGGAGCCCTTGGCGGAGGAGGAGCAGGCGGAGGAGAGAGCCACTGAGGAGAAGCACCAGGAGCCGGTCGAAGATCAAACGGTCCCTGGTGCTAATTGAGTTGTTCCTGGATTATTTCTGCGGTCGTATGGCCATGTTTATGCATTTCCGGCCTGTGTGTCGAGTAACCTTGTCTCTTTACCGACCGTGGGGTCGGGCCACTTAACAATATTTTTTTTATCTCACCGGCTGTTGAGCCGTTTTAACAAAACTTTTGGCTGACCATGGGGTCAGTCTTTTTAATTTATGAAGAAATCATTCCGCCATTAGGTCGGATGTTGTTTATACTTTGCGTTTGAATGTTGCATTTTTGCATTTGAATTTGAATTTGGGCTTTGATAGGTATGGAATTCCGGATGTTTATGACGTACCGAATGCTTTGCCCCTGGACGGATGTGTGCTTAGATTTACAATTGGTTGATTGACTGGAAATTGATGATACCAAAAGGAAAGGTATGGTTAATTTCTAAGTCAATCAATCACTAAGGTGATTGCCCCAAGCCAAGCACGCAGTCGGCCATACGATCGATCAGACGGGGCTGAATACAGGTGGTCTTTCGACCTTGATGTCATTATCGAATGACTAGTCATGCTATATTTATTAAAAGTGCATGATTTTGAATATAAAGTTTGATGGCTCCGTCTGCTATTATTTTATTACGATAGCAGACGGCTTGTATCTTCCAGGCAGCCTCAGGTGCCTTCAACAGGTTGCAGTTATCCTTCTAGGGCCATTTTTAGAATTGGTCCGTTCGTGTAGGTTGATAACCACATTTTTTTTTCTAATTATACTTAGCCTGTTTGCCCCATTTGGGAGACTGTATAATTTCTAAGGGTAACCTGAGTTAAAACTTTAGTCAATTGCTGGGTGATACAATGATCATCCGGGTTCTTAAGACTGATTCGTTTTTCAAGTTACTATGGTTAGGAGGCTATGAGTTGATTAATCAGACCGTTCAATCTTTGTCGTCTATATGCGATGGTAGAGCAAACAAAAGAATGCTCTCTGTGACGATAACACCCGGAGGGGCGTCGCCGGACGCCATGTTTCACATTGGAGCAGGCGAATTTATAAAATATCCAACCATCCGGCTTAGAGCCTCATGCCCCATTTGGGGGCGGTTGTGTAGCCACTAAGCCTTTTTGTGCTTAGTTTGATCTCTGGCCATTGGCCTCCTGTTCAGATCTATATCGATCAAATGGGTCTGTTTGTGTTTTAAGCAGATAGATTACATAAAAAGGCGCATGTATGTTAAATAAACAACATGATAAAAAAAAAGCATAATTTGAAAACAGAAAGCTACTTTTCATTCATAGGCTTACTATTTACAAAAATTTACAACTTAGAAGTAGTATTTTTTGAGATTGTCTACATTCAAAGTTCTGGGCAGCCGCCTACCGTCTAGAGTTTCCAGGCGGTAGGTGCCGTCTCTCACTTCCTCATAGATGCGGTAGGGTCCTTCCCAATTGGGAGTTAACTTTCCAAGTTCATTCGCCCTACCGACTGCCTCCATTTTTCGTAACACAAAGTCATTCACTTTCAAAGGGCGCTTGTGCACTTTCTTGTTGTAGGCTCTAGTCATTCTCAGACGGTATATCTCATGTCGCAGGGCAGCATTGCCCCTGCGTTCTGGGAGGGAATCCAATGCAAGCCGCATGGCTTCCCAATTTGCCTCTTCATCATACAACATGATTCTTAGAGTAGGCTCATAGCGTTCAATAGGCAAGACAGCCTCAGCACCATAGACCATGAGAAATGGGGTTTCACCAGTAGCCCCTTTTGTAGTTATCCGGATGGCCCACAGGACATGGATTAATTCTTTTGCCCATAAACCACCGGCTCTTTCAATTTTCTTCTTTATGCCGTCTGAGATGAGTTTGTTGAAGGCTTCAACTTGGTCGTTTGCCTGAGGTCGACCAACTGAAGCGAAGTAGCTGGAGATGCCTTGATCTCCCAACCAAGTTGTGAGTTCAGGTGTTTCAAACTGAGGGCCATTATCAAACACCATAGACATAGGTACCCCGAACCGGGTGATGATGTTCTTCCAAATGAAAGAGATGACATCCTTTGTCTTGATGAAGTAATCCACAACCACCAAAATGTAGCGCTTTCCGCCTGGAGCAGGCGTATAAGGACCAAGGATGTCCATGCCCCATTTAGCAAACGGGACCGGGCTGTGGATTGCCGTCAGATTAGTAGCCGGACAGTGGATCATTTTGCCAAACCTTTAACACTTGTCACATTTTTTAACCATTTCCATGGCATCAGATTCAAGAGTTGGCCAAAAGTAGTGTCGTCTAGCTTTAACAGCCAAAGACCTGCCGCCTATATGAGAGGCACAGAACCCCGCATGTAGGTCTTCGAGAATCTCCTTCCCCTTCTCCGGGGTAACACATTTCAAGAGTGGCTTAAGGAAACCAGCTTTGAAGAGTTCTCCGTTTCTCATCTCGAAGTTTGCAGCTCGCTTTTTCAGGATGGCCGCCTCCTGAGGTGAATCCGGAAGCGTTCCATCAGTAAGGTAAGCCCGGATGCCATCCATCCAGGTGGAACTTCGGTCAAGGACTCCAATGGGCTCTTCATGTATACTTCTTCTTTCCAGAACTTCCCAAAAGACTGACCGAGGTGTGTCACAGCAGGCGGAGGATGCTAACTTAGACAATGCATCCGCCTGATTGTTTTCTGACCGGGGAACTTGACTCAAATGAAATTCTTCAAGTGTCCCGGCTTCCTCTTTGACCGCCTAAATATATTTGATCATAGCAGGATGGGTTGCTTCAAAGACACCCTCATACTAGCTAACAACCAATTGCGAATCAGAGTAGGTGTCAATTTTTGTTGCCCCAGCCGCCTTACACATACGGATGCCGGCTAGTAGGGCCTCATACTCCGCCTCATTGTTTGAGGCTTGAAACTTGAATCGTAGTGCATACTCAAATTTATATCCCTTAGGAGACTCATAGATAACGCCTGCACCACAACCATTTTTTGTAGAACTCCCGTCCACATACACTTTCCAAACCTGATTGGGGTTATCCGGGGGAACCGGACATGTCATTTCAACAATGAAGTCGGCGAACGCCTGACCCCTTACTGCCTTCCTTGGTTTGTAAGTGATTTCAAGACTTTGCATTTAAATAGCCCATTTTAACATTCTACCGGATGACTTGAAGGTTGACATTTGCCGCTTGAGAAGTTGGTCCGTGTATATAACGACCGGATGTGCCAAGAAGTATGGTTTCAACTTCTTGGATGCCATATAAAGAGCGAGGCCAAATTTTTCAACCATGGGGTACCGGAGCTCAGCGTTCCTAAGAACATGGCTAACGAAATAGACAGGGAGCTGGATGCCGTCTCTCTCAGCGAGGAGAACAACACTGAGGGCATGATCCGAGACCGCCAGATACATGAATAACGTCTCTTTGGGCAGAGGGCTAACTAGCCTTGGCAAAGAGTGCAAGTGTTCTTTTAATTTCTGGAAGGCCGCCTCAGCCTCATCCCCCCATTAAAACCTAGTCTTCTTCCTGATAGCTTGGAAGAAGTAGAGGAATTTGTCACCTGAACGGCTGAGAAATCTTCCCAAGGCCGCCAGGCAACCGGTTAACTTCTGAACTTCTTTAACAGTACGGGGTGACTTCATGTCAATTACCGCCTGTATCTTCTCGGGGTTAGCTTCTATTCCCCTTTGATCAATTAAAAATCCGAGAAACTTCCCAGACTCAACACCAAAAACACATTTCTTGGGATTTAACATAACCCTATGCCACCTGAGGGTGGTGAAGGTTTCTCGGAGATCAGTAAGGTGATCCGCCTGGAGCTTTGATTTGACTATCATATCATCAACGTACGCCTCTACATTCCTTACAATTTGATTTATGAAAACCGTGTTAATCATTCGTTGGAAAGTAGCAAGCGCGTTCTTTAAACCAAACGGCATCACCGTATAACAGAACAACCCTTGATCAGTGACGAAGGCCGTCTTCTCTTGATCTTTCTTCCACAGGGGGATCTGATGGAAACCTGAGTAGGCATCCATGAAACTCATCAAGGCATGACCGGCTGTAGAGTCGACAAGGCTGTCGATCTTTGGAAGAGGATAGCTGTCCTTGAGACATGCCTTGTTGAGGTCCGTATAGTCAACACACATGCGCCAGGTACCATTCGGATTCTACACAAGCACCACATTTGCAACCCAATCAGGGAAGTTACATGGCCGAATGAACCCAGCGTCCAACAATTTTTTCACTTCGGCGCCTGCCGCCTGACTTCTCTCCTGGCCGTGGTTTCTTTTCTTTTGCCGGATAGGCTTTCTCTTTGGATCCACGGCGAGTTTGTGGACAGCGAGATCTGGGCTGATGCCTGGCATCTCTTCCACTTCAAAGGCAAAAATGTCTTTGAACTCTTTCAGCAAAAGGTGTAAGTCTACACCTAACTTAGCATAAGCAGCCGTCCCAACCTTTAAAGTTCGATCCGGACGAGATTCATCCAGAGCGAGATCGATATGCTCACCAGCCGGCTGCGGACGGAGCTCATCTGACCGCTCTCCGGTCGGTGATTGCTATTTCTTTTCTTTCTTCACCTCCACCAGCTGGGTCATTTTTCTCTTCTTTCCGGCTGCTGGTGGGGCTTGGCTGGCATCCTTGACTTCGTCAAGGTCTATTGGTTCCTTCCCTTGACCATCTAGGGCCACTGTATCTTTGACAGCAGAGAGATAGCACTCCCGGGCCGTCTTCTGATCCCCATTCAAG